TATCTCTATTTGAAATTGATTTAACCATACTTAGAAATGTTAGCTACCATTAAGTTTATCAGTATCATAAGTGGCACACCGGACAGTGTAAAATGGCAACATCAAAAAAAAAAAACAAAAAAAAAATCCTAAGTAAGTACTGCATAAGACTGGTACTATCAACAATCAATCATGGATCAAGGAGGGGGCTCATTGGGCTTTTACAATCCCTGCTGAACTACTGGGGATAATTCTGGGGAAGGGACAATTGTCTATAGCTGAGTACCTAGTAGTGAGCCCACCATGCACCAATGGCTAGTTCCAAACCTATGATCACACTGACAACCCTGATTAAAATCAGTGGGTCACAAAAAACAAAACAAAAGACATGAACGTGAATGTGGGAAAGAGACTTACAGGGAGGAGGGGAGATGACAGGGGTCAGAGGGAGATTAGAGAGAGTAGGGTGGTGGTGATGAGAATATTCAGAATGTATGCTATATGCATAGAGTTGTCATATTCAATCAATGAAAATCCTAAAAATAATTTAATAAAACCTAGTTTAAAAAAATAAGAGAAATAAAAGCCCCAACTAAAATAAAATTCTCCCTGTTTCTGTGTATGTATCGGAACTTCTTATGAATTTGTTTTTGACTAGGAAGGTAGTAGCTTTAAATTGCTATTTTGTTTGTGGGTATGGATTGTTTATTTTCTGGTTCAAGTGTAGACCACTGATATCAAAATTTAGGCCCATTGATGTTAGCAGTGGTGAGTTCCCCATCACAGCCTTTGGGCATAGGTGGGCCACATGTATCCAGAAGGCTCTGCATTTCCTTGGGGCAAGCTCTCCTTGGGTCGCATGGTCAGTCAGCTAGACACACACAGTGAAAAGTGCAGTGGGTGGCCATCATATTGCATTTTAGTCTTGGAAATTTACTTGCATTGTTAGGGCCTATTATTTATTTATTTATTATTTATTTATTTATTTATTTATTGGTCTTTTAGAGACAAGGTTTCCCTGTAGCCCCAGCTGGCCTGGAACTCACTATGTAGACCAGGCTGGCCTTAAACTTACAGAGATCTGCCTGCATCTGTCTCCTGAGTGCTGGGATTAGAGGTGTGCACTACCACACCCGGCTTGATTTTCATTAAAAAATTTTAAATTATTATTATGTATTTGTATGTATGTGTGTGCATATTTTTGCCATGGTGAGTGTGTGGAAGTCAGGGGACAACTTGTGGGAGTTGGTTCTCTCCTACCATTTGGGTGCTAGAAATGGAACTCAGGTCTTCAAGCTTGGCAGCCTTTACCCACTGAGCCATCTCCCTGACCCCTATTTGATTTTCAGGCATAAGTAAGGAATGGAAGCAGTCTTTAGACATTCATATTAGAGACAAAAAATTCTTGATTCTCTTCTTTCAAATTTCCAAATTTATCATAGAGTATTCTGAGACTACACAACTTAAAAAAAATATTTGTGTGTTGCTCTTCACCTTCCTCCTGTTTGCTGCTGCAAATGCCAAGCTAGCTGGCCCCTAAGCTTCCAGGATTCTGCTCTGCTTCCCATCTCCTGCATCTGCATTATGAGGTTCTAGGGATCTGAACTCAGATCCTCATGCTTTCATGGCAAGCACTTTACTCAATAAGCCATCTCCCCATCCCTGAACTAAAAACAATTTTAATAAAATTCCACTCTTATCTTTTTGATGATTCTGTTTTTAAACTAATTTTAAAGCATTTTGAAACCATGCTCTACAAACATCATACGGAAAGGGCCCTCTTTCCTCAACTGAAACTGGAACATCCTGGCTGACAGGGAAAGGGAATGGGAAGAGGCCATCCCATAAATCGCATTATGTGAGCTGCAGACTTTAAAGGCAGCTGTTGCTTTATGTCAGGTGCAAATATCATAAGTACCTTTCTGGTCCATTTCTCTGATACGAACTTCCGGGTCCCAGCAGTTCTGTTGAATCACTCTGAAGACCTTCCCGTCTTTCATCATCTTTGCTTCTCCCTGGGTTAGAGAATCCACATCAGCAAAAGGCAACCAAAGCCTGCTTAGATGAATCTTGTGTTCTTTTGAGAGAGGAGAGAGAGAGAGAGAGAGGGAATATGCACATATGTGTAGATACATGTAGGGACCATTCCTCAGGTGCTGTCCATCTTATTTTTTTGAGTCAGGGCCTCACATTGGCCTGGAACTTGCTAAGTAGGACAGGCTATCTGGCCAGCTTCCCCAGGGATCTACCTGTCTCCACTTTCCCAGCACTGGGATCACAAGTGCACACCAGTATGCTTGGCTTTTTACATGGATTCTAGGGATCAAACTCAGGTCCTCACACTGGAAGGGCAAGCCCTTTACTAACCTAGCCATCTCTCCAGCCCTGGATTAATCTTTCCTTGAATGCTTTAGAACATGTTTCTCCTCCCACATTTTTAGGGATTTGAACCTAATCAACATGGAGATAAAAACTGGTTTGCTTAATGAGCTCAGCTTTTCTGCCTCATGCCTTTCTTTGGCCTGATGTTGAATGAGGGTGCCATGTGGGTGTTTGCTGCTGAACACAGTTCAGTGACAGTGAGGTCATGGTCATGCCCTTTTGGTGTGCATGACCAAAGATGGTTAATTTGGTTAATTTATCATCTCGCTGATCTGGCTGTGAGACCTAGGAGGATAACCCTGTGCCTGGAAAACATCACACCTATAATATGACAGAATTGCAAAGGACCATGGAGATAGACCGTAGTCTAAATCACTGGGTTTATAGGAAAGCAACGTATAGATAGTAAAAGGAAGTAGGTTTGTTTAACAGAGCAGAGTCCTTCAATTCAATACTTGTGGCCAGAGGGGGAAATGAAGTGAGCCAGCTTGAAACAAGTACAAGATTCGTTGCTAAGCTGCTCACTTCTGGAAGGAACCATGCCTGCCTGTGTATACAACCCCCCCCTTTTTTTTTTAAAAGGAAGGCCTTTTGACCCTTTCACTACCCATAACTGTTGATAGGCTCAGTCTTGTGAAGGCACCTGCAGCTGTTGTGAGTTCATGTTTGCAATCACCGTGTCTTGCCCAGAAATAGCATTTTCAGCCCTTCTCCCTATCACCTGGCTCTTACATTCTTTCCACTCCCTTTTCTGTGATATTCCCTGAGCTTTGGAGGGAGTGGTGTAAATGTCTTATTTAGGCTGAACATTCAATAGTCACTTATTATTAGCACCTTGAGCAGTGAAGCATCTCTGCATTCATCAGCATTCACCACAAAGAGAAGCTTCTCGGATCAAGGCTAAGAGTAGCACTTGTCAGTGGGTACAAACAAATATTTAGAAGGCAGATTGACCACCATGTCAAATTAACAAAACAATGGTGGCTATCGATTTCATTTTCTTCAGCTGTGTATCCACTGATGAGCCCATTAGCCTTCAATGGATAACTCCAAATCTTTGGTCACATGGATAACTCAAGTTAAACTCAGTGGGTCACAAACCAAACAAAAAGAAAAGAGCATGGGAAAGAAACCTGTAGGGAAGAGGGGATGGAGTTGACAGGGGTGGGAGAGAGACAGGGGAGGGTGAGTGGCAAGAATAATCAGAATGCATTATACATGTGCATAAAGTTGTTAAAGAATAGATTTGAAATTCACTTAAGTTGTAAATAAATAATTAAAAGGTATATTCTTTAATGGACAGATTAAAAATTCTATATAATTATAGGAGACAATATGATATATATACACACGTGTATATATGGTGTATGTGTATATATACATATGATCTAGCATTATAGACTAACTAGATCAAATTAGCATATCCATTACTTCATATATTTATTTTTTGTGTGGTGGAGAACACTTAAATCTATTCTCTTAGCACTTTTCAACCATGTCTTATTAATTATAGTCACAGTGTAGCATAGTAGATATTCTAAACTTATTTCTCTTGTCTAACTGAAATGTTGTATTTTTGACCAACATATATATGAAAAATACTAGAAATCACTAGTACTTGGGGAAATCCAAATCAAAGTTGCAATATTACCTCATACCTTTTAGGATGGTTACTGGAAAATCAAAATGATAAGTTCTGGCAAGGATGTAGAGAAAGGGAGCCTTGTGCATGTGCACTGATATAACTGTGATGAAGCACACTGCCTTTTAGTACCCAGTGCACAGGACTAGACTAGCTGGTTAGTAGAAGACCTATAAATTGGGTGTCCAGCTTGTGATTCCTAAAGGCCAGGGGAAAGTTCTAGGCCAGGCCCCTGAAATCAGTCTATCCAAGTTCCAATTCCTACAAGGCCTTGAACAAGTTAGAATCATTTCCATGGCTTAGTTTTCTTATCTTTAAAACAGGGATAATATGACTTACCTTAAGAAATTCCTAAGACTTGCTTAATGGGATCTTGTGAGCACAAAATGGGTATAACTGACCTCCAGCACTCAATGGAGCATCTCACACAAGTTAAGTGCTAGTTATTAGTTTTAGTTGTTAATGATGTAAAGCTAATTATGGTCCAGGCTATCTCCCAGTTTTTCCCTACTTTTATGTCATCCCCTTTGATGGCATTTCAAGGTCTCAATATTGTCTGTGGGCCCTATGTGATGGCTAAGTTGTTGTGTGGCACTGGAAGTCTTGAGTTCTGCTTGGTGGAATCCTGTGCCCTCTTCCTCTTGACTCAATCATGAGTTTCATTCAAGCCTTACCTCCAAATTTCCTTCTTTACCCCACTACTCCATAGACAAGACCTTCCCCATTTCTTCCTGCAATCACTGTGTCTTGCTTGCCTGACAAAGACCTCATATTTTCATTTCTCAGGGACCAGGAACAGGTCAGTGAGGGTGATTTGTACAGCTGAGTCAGGGGTCTGCACACTGAAGAGCTGGGCCTCTGACATCAGTACATCAGGATGGATGTGTCTCATTCCTGTGCCTCCATTGACCATGTTAGCATCTGAACCACCTTCCTAAGTTGTGGCATCTCCTGCAGGAATCTTAAAAGCCTAAAAGCTCAAATACTTGTTATACTTACCTAATCTTGTTCAATCAGTGCTTAGTATTGATCCATGGTTTTGTTGTTTTGTTTTGAGATAGGGTCTCCCTGTAGCCCCAGCCAGCCTAGAACTTGGTGTGTAGACCAGGCTAGCCTTGATCTCACAGATACCTGCCTACCTCTGCCTCCTGAAGTGATGAGATTAAAGACATGTGTCAACATCCCTGAGTATTTAGTTCTGAATTAAGTGCACTCAATGCAAAAGGATGGGAACAGGTGGACCTATTCACAATGATTCCAATAGTGGATTTGCCCAGCTGAGGGCAGCAGTCTCTTAGCCAGGCTGCTCTGGTGTTATGGCCTTCACCCTGGCTTCAGTTGTCTGGCTTTCTTTGGTTTCTGTGTGTTTTATGAGCTTGATGGCCCAAATATTTTGTAATCCTTGAGGGGCTTAAAATAATTTCAACAAGTACTTTTTCTTTTTTAAGTAACTGTTGTTGATTTTGTTGCTCACAACTGAGAGTCCTAAGTAACACCGACCACTCAGATAGGATAAAGGAATGTATGTTTTTCATCTGGCCCAGAAGGTATTTGAGAGGGGCTCTTACTAAAGGAAAATCTAGGAGATAAACTTTCCTTTCCTCCTTAGTAGGAAAGCTTAATTACCATGAAATGCCCAGTATAGCAGAGTGCTGCCAGGCATAGACTTCACAATCACACAAGGCGTTGGTTAAATTTCCTTACATTGTCTACAAACAATATGATTAGTTAAATTTTAGGCATTCTGTGTTCTGGTGTGTGTGTGTGTGTGTGTGTGTGTGTGTGTGTGTGTGTGTGTGATAAATGTGTTATTCTCCTCCCTCAGCCCAGTTAAGTCCCC